TTAAGGTTTACAACCATGTCATCCTAAGAGGGGCAGCCAGCAGCCTGGGGTCATGTGAATTATCCATAACAAGCAGTTATTATTAATAATAAAAACATTTTAAGTCTAAAAAAATCATCGGATAAATGACATACATCTTGATTATATCAGTAACAAGACGTTTTTGTAAAGGAAGACTTTCTCTCCATCGCACACTGTCGAAATCCCTCAGTCTTACATTCCAGATGAAAGCCTTGTGTTGCCGACTGTCTTAAATGCTTTGCAAACTGTATGTTTTTTCTAACCTTGGTCAAAAGCAGATGCGGAGGTCAGAGAGTCAGAGCACACCTGCACTGGGAGACAGCAGAGATGGTGGGGAATAAATCAGGGATGCCCTGAAGCCCAGGGTCTACATTCTCTCTCTCAGACAGTTCATGCATTGCCTCATGTGAAAGTCCCGCTGCGTCAGAGTCACATTTCACCATGCTTAAGCACGAGCATAATGATATCATGTCTTTTTTTAACAGTTATCCCAGAATAGGTTTACAACAGCGGAGGATTTGTCACCTGCTTGACACCTTTAACAGCTGCTGCAGTTATAATGTACATGACGCCTGCAGTGGTACTAATACGGTCTCGTAAAAATTACATTCACACCAGTGTGTGTGTGAACGTAAAATTCAAATTCAACAGACTTTGAAACATGTTTTTGCAAAATACCTAAAATTTGACAGATATTGGTTATTTAAATTTAATGAAAAAACAGTTAGCCCAAGAGAAGTGTATCAACAAGGTATGGCTGCTTATTGGTGAAATTTTTAGGATCGAATATCGAAAAAAAAAAAAAACACTACGGCCCAACCGATCCAAAACTTAAAGCCCAAATGCTCTACATAACTTTGCGCAACATGCTGTAAACAGGGATGTTATCACTCAGTAACGTCAGCCTATGGCATGCTGGCAAAGATAAGAAGGTATCGGATTGATATCGGTATTGGGAGATACCAGTTACAGTACGGTATCGGACACAAAAGCCATACCTAGTACGAGCAGTACACAGAGTACAGTTAACAAACGTGTCAAACTCATTTTGGTTCACGGGCCACATACAACCTAATTAAATGTCAATTGGGCTGGACTAGTACAATCATAACCTAATTATAAATAACAATAATACAAATTTTCCCATTATTTACATGAAGTGTTTGTGTATTTTTTTTTGCAAAATTTGTCAAGCTAAATATTTATATTTAATGAAATATTATTATACAAAAGATATCCCAAACATGAAGTGTTTGTGTATTTTATTTTCAAAATTTGTCAAGCCTAGCGGGCCGGTTTTGGCCCGTGGGCCGTATGTATAACACCCAGGTATAGATTATAGCCAATTTTGCTAAACTATGTATTCATTAAATATTTACTTTCTTAGTTAATTGTACAAGAGCAAAGCTTAAAATGAATGCAGAAAAAGGTGAAGGTTTAGCAAAGATGAAAACTTGGCTACATGAGGCAACAAAATGCTTGGACGTAGCTTAAGTTTACAAAAAACAACCAAAGGGGTTTTAAGAAAGGAGCAAAAAAAAAATCTAAAATCTATATAAAATTACAAATCCAATTGTTGTGGGAATCACTAAAGGGACGTGTGGGGTTGGTTTAATGCCACTGCACTGATATTGGCTTACTGCTGAGCTTTCTACAGACAAACAGACACAGACGGAAAAAAACAGAATTAGGGAGATTAAAGAAGACAAGATACCCAGTGATTATAGTTGATACATCAGACGTCTCCTCTGCTCACACACACACACACACACACACACACACATCAATCCGCTTTGATTTTATGCCAGCAGTGAACCGAATATACAGTACACTTGGTTGTAAATGTGTGGGCTTTTCCCTACTGTAGTGAGGATCTAAGTAAGAGAAGAAATGTCGGTGGCCAACTACACCATCAGGTGGTATGGATATCTCTTTTGAAGTTTCTGCCTGGTCAGGACACATTGGTGCATTTTATTGTGCTTGTCATTTTTGCACAAACCAAATTACTTTTATTATATTTCCTTACTTGAAAAATTTAATCCAAAGGATGATTCCAGGGTTTTTTTTATTCCATGGGGCGACTGAGATAAAAAATAAAATTGATTTAATATCAACCTACAAACTTGTTTTCTGCAAAGTCCACCTCAATATTCCCCGGTTGTTGTTAAAACCCAACTGTGTCTCGTTCTGTCCGTACTTCCTGCTGCTGGTTAATTGTGTGTAAACACACCTCTAGGGGTTGTTTTTTTTTTTCACCTTCTTAATCCTATCTCTGTGACACCCTAACCTGTTGTTCTGTTTACCTTTCTGTACACTCACTTCCTCTACTTTACTCACACTTTGATAACAGATAAGAAGTGAAATCAGCCATTTTTGTTATCTCTGTTATTTGTGATAATGATAAGAACTGGGGTGAGAGTAAACCAGTGCCATCTTTTCACTTCAAATTCTACACCAAAATCTACAAATTTTCATTTCTTTAATGACGCCTCCACCAGATGGGAGCATAGGAGCTGCAGCTCTAATGCTGCTTTATTTAGCACATTTTTTGTATGAAACCTTACCTTTTAAGTAAAAAAATCAATCTTTAGAAATTACTGATGTATACCTAAGGAGTGTTGTTACAGACGAAATGTTAATCGTTTCTAGTAGAAGTTCCCGTGCTGGAAATCCCCTTACAGTAGTAGTGAGAAATATGTTTGTTTTTCTACACTGGGGGCAGAGCTGAGTCAGCTATCTTGTTAAAATGCCTATTATTATAATTCAGCTTTTCCTTTTAAATCCTCATCTATTCTTTCCTCTGCAGATCACCACTAAGTAGTACACACTTGACGCTCTAAAAATTGTAACAGTTGTGATATGCTGTCTACTTGTTGGGTGTGAGTGTCACTAAAGTGCTACATCAGCCTGGTGAGATAATACTGTGGTGATGACAGAGTGTGTCCAAATACAGTTTTCACTGCTGTAATTGGGCCTGAGACCCACAGAATCTTATATCAGCTTGTCTCGCACCAACCTGAGACTTGTCCACACGCCATGTAGTACAAGTCTCCCCAAGAGTGGGGAGTTTGTCTGTCTTTGTGTGTGTGTGTGTGTGTGTGTGTGTGTGTGCATGTGAACTGTTCCACTACACGGTTCCCATCAGACCTGCCTCCTGTCATGACATCATAGCAGTGTCAGTCTGTGATAATACATGTCTAACTTTAATCAGAGTCTGGACCAGAGAGCAGAGAAGGTCCAGCTGTCTGGTGTCTGGACAGGTACCAGTCCCAGGGTTCAGTTTTTTAATCTGCCAGTGATAAAAACGTATGACCTTTTACACCTGGGCTACGTATTAGCAGCATTAGCACCGAAACTGCAGCAGGTTAACTAAAGCTCAGTGATGAACAAACAACGATGAATAATAATTATTATTAGTAGTAGTAGTAGTAGTAGTATTGGTACTGGTATTAGTATTCATATTATTAATATCAACATAAATAACTATAACAATAGCAATAATAATAATAATAATATGTATCAGTTATTTATTATTATATGTAGCCTACCAATCTGGAGTGGCAACAAAACTACGATGTATCTTAACCATAAGGATGCTATCCAGACCTCCTTAAATCATAATTGACTAACTTTGGAAGTACATACAGTTGGCATAAGTATGCAGGAACAGAGTTTGGATTAAACACACCTGGTTTTGACAAACCATGGGCTGTCAGAGAGATCTTTGCTCCTCATACCGGAGGGAGAGGAAACGAAAGGTCTCTGCTCTGTAGGAGTAGACCCTCATCGGGAGACTTTGAGTAATGAAGCTCAGCTTCTGTGGGACGTCATGGACGTTTATGAAGTTTATTTTCACTCCTACACATAGCACAGCCACTGAGGCGTCTGCGCTTCTCTGTTCACTCCCACACTGCTCCATATTAACCTCTCTGCACTTACAGTCCTACTATAACCATTCTAATTAGACACTACACCATCTGTGCTCCCAAAGGCATAAAATCCTGCTTTAGTCAAACCTAAACCTAAACACTAAAGTGGTCAGTAGTCAGTCGGTTTAACCAGACAAACAAAGCATTCCTCCTTCTCGGTTCAATCAAACTAATCCCTTCAGAAAGGCATAGTTACCTTTTAAATTGATTCAACCTCAAACCTATAAAAATAGCCTCACGGCTTGAACTTAGCGTTCATATATCTGATTAAAAGTGACAGCCATGGCAGCTCGACCCAAGCTTTTTTTTAAAGTCTGGACTTCTGAAGACAGAATTGACCCTTTGTAGTTGAGAATCATCACAGACATGTTTCCTGAAAAAGTTCCTGGTCCATTGCGCTGGCCTGTGTGTGACCTGCATTGGTTGGTTTCCAGATTTAGCCTGTTGCTAGGGCCTCCTGTTAGGTCACAGAGGATGACCCCTGTGGCCAGCAGAGACTATTCACCTGCAACATTTCTTTAAAGTAGTCCCTCTGACCCTGGATGTTGATGATACATTGAATTAGTCATTGTCTATCTATGTCAGGGGAAGAGGGGTTGATTTGGGGGTCACTCCCCACAGCTTTTTCACTTTGCCGACCTTCACTCTATGTGCAAGAAATGTGCCCCCAAGGACAGAACTTATAATTGGGACTTAAGATTTCACATTTAAAATTATTGGAAGGATTAGCAATCAAGCTACATGGAGGAGAAAGGACACCTTTAGTTAGGAAAGCAGGGCTTCCAGACGGTTAGAGTGCAGGAAAATGCTCCGACAGGAGGAGCTCTCTGAAGAGCTGTGTCTTCAGGAGCCTCTTGAAGATAGGCATGGTGGTCATAGATTATTCCATCAGTGTGATATGATCAATGAAAAGATTCTGAATTGTCTTGTGTGAGGTGTCGGGATTGCCAGATGACATTCTACCAGAGCAGATTATATTTGTACTTATACTTCGCACAGTTTTCATCAACCTTCATAAACTGACTCTCCTCTCTTTCCTCTGTTCCGCAGTCCTGGCAACTGGTGCTCTGGCTCAGGAACCCGACCACAGCCATGGCTGCGCTCATGGCAGCTGCTACCCAGCCACAGGAGACCTGCTGGTCGGACGAGAAAAGAACCTAAAGGCCTCCTCCACATGTGGGATGAGGAGAAAAGAGCCGTACTGCATCGTCAGTCATCTTCAGGTAAGTGCACGTACATTTGGCAAGAAAGTTTGGTGGAGGAGCAAGGATTCAAAGTTATGGTTTCTATTTTCTCTCCACGACCTTCACGACCATCTGACGCCGACTTTTCCTGCCCCGATGAAGGATGAAAAAAAGTGTTTTGAGTGCGACTCGAGACGGCCATATGACCCTGTCTACAACACCATCAATCACCGCATAGAGAATGTCATCACCACCTTCAAACCTCACCGCAAAAAGTCCTGGTGGCAGTCAGAGAACGGTGAGGAGGACATGGTTTTATTCTACCACAAAGGCTGACTTGACCTGAAAGCTGAGTGTAGATGGAAGCCAAACCAAACCGAATTCTATAAAGTAAAGGGGAGCTGATAAATCATGACACGACTGAAGGCAAGTCATTCCTACACACACACTTACACACACTGTGGACAGCATCCAACCATCTGACCAGCTTAATAACAGGGTGGAAGCTCTGGCGTCATCTGAGAGGAGAAGAATGAATGACAGAGAAGAAAAGGATATTTAAGACCCTGTGATATATTATAAACCCTGAAACTGAGTTTTAGTAGCTGTAAAAGGTTTTACATTAATAAACGTAGGGGAAGCTGTCCCTTACTGGTTGGTATTTATTAAATCCCTAACCGAGAAATGTAGCCCTGAATCCTACTGTAACAGCTGTGTGTCTATCACGTCGACCCAGATCCCCATGGTATGGTTGGAGCAGCAATCAGAATTTCCAGTGTGTCTGTAGGCCACATAGTCCTCCTTTGTACTAAATACAGTATTACAGAATGACCGACAGTTGTTGGCATTGGTAGTCTGTATTTTCCCAATTTTCTAACACAAGGTTAGAGAGTATAGTGACGTCTTTTTGCATCAGTTTGTACAGAGGTTTTAAGATTAAAAATGCCTGTGAACAAATGGGGACATTTTGTTTTTGCTCCTGCATCCTGCTGTCAACTACGCTAAAAAATCAGCATCTATCTATCTATCTATCTATCCATCTATCTATCTATCCATCCATTTATCCATCCATCCATCCATCTATCTATCTATCTATCTATCTATCCATCTATCTATCTATCCATCCATTTATCCATCCATCCATCCATCTATCTATCTATCTATCCATCCATCTATCTATCTATCGATCTATAGATCTATAGATCTATCTATCTAATCATTATTATTGCTAATTTGGATTGACTTTCTTTTTGCACATGAGACTACTCGGGGGGGGGACATCCGAGAAGAGAAGACGGAGAAAACACAGGAAGTTTACAGCCTATTTTTAATACCAAGTTTTTCCATTTTTCCATGGTAACTCCAGGCCTTGAGCTGCGTTTCTGTTGTGGCAATGTGAACAGAAGATCTGATTGACATGGATTACAGTCATGTGAAATCCGACCAAGACACTAAAAAAAACAGGGTTCAGTAAATTTTGAAACAAGAATGATGTAGTAAAAAGAGGTGCCTTTTTTATGTTATGTCTGTTTATGTCATTTGCTCTTTCTGTTTTTATTTTATTTTATGTTTTTCACATGGCACATTTTAAAGTCAGATGAGCAAGGGGTTTAACTAAAGCTCAAAACTGTCGACTTTGGTGTTTAATTTACCAGCAATGCCAAATTTTAACATTCAGTCAACAAAAACCTTAAATTAAATTACATTAACACCGTTTAGTTCATGACGTCATCTTATTTATGTGCCAGTACTCTGAAGTTCGACTGAACATTTTCATCCTAACGTCGGATGTTTTTGCAATAAACCCCTGTCAGAATCATCCTTTACAAGTGGGCGAGAAGAACGTGATAACTCAATAATTATGTACCCCACATGTGTCAGGAAGTCACTGTGATGCCACACACGTTTAAACTTTCATCACCTGCAGAAGTTAAAAGACGGGGATTTCCCCCAGGATCCTGAGGGGATCTGTGCACAACAGTGTTTGTGTAAAACATGTTTTTTGTAGAAGCAAGAGGGAAAAAAATGTATGAGACTTTTTTGCACACATTAATGGAAGTCTGATAATAGAACTGAAGTGTTATGCATTACATGTGGTGGATATTTTTGTATTGCTATGCATGAATAGGAAACTCCTCGTTTTACTGCCGAACAAAGAACACGAGTGTGAGTTGTCCAGGCATTAAAGTGGTCTGTGAGAACATTTAGTTCTCCACAGATCAGGAAGTGTGTGGGCTTTTCCAACTTAGCTCGCTCCGTTTCCCCTGCCAAAAGCAAATGTCTTTTCCATGTCGGGACGCCATGTAGTCCTTGAGAACAGAAGCGTTATTACATTAACTGTCAATAACTTCACTTTCCATCATCTTCACTCTGTCACAGATGGAATATGAATTCCGAACAATGGAGATATCTGGTCGATTTTGAAATATAGCTATGGATTAGACTGTTATACAGGCAGGGGTTGAATGCAAGCCAGTGAAGTGTGTTTTGGTGTTTCTTACATCTAAACATCTTTAAATTTATCATTACAAGGGCAACGTAACATGAACAGCTTCAAAGTGAAAGTGTAAGCAGATGAAAATAAAGGCAGGGAAAAATAGGTTTGTGAAAAGTGAAGATTTAAAATCTAACAGACAGTTGTCTTGAGAGTATTTAGCATAGTTAGCATGTACTATTTATGGCGCTGATGCTTCATTTCTGACTCGTCTTTGTCTCTGTTTTCCAGGACTGTCCAATGTCTTCATCCATCTTGATTTGGAAGCAGAATTCCATTTCACTCATTTGATCATGACATTCAAGGTAACGTTAAAAAAATAACAATAATATTAACAACATCAGCATCTTGAGAGCATGTCTTTGAGCAGTCGTCTCCTTCTCTTGCAGACTTTCCGTCCTGCAGCCATGCTCATCGAGCGATCGGCAGATTTCGGTCGAACCTGGCAGATCTACCGCTACTTTGCCCACGACTGTGCTTCCGCTTTCCCAGGAGTCTCCCAGGGTCCTTTGCGCAACATCAACGATGTCATTTGCGAGACTCGATATTCCGATATTGAGCCATCGACTGAGGGAGAGGTGAGAACAAATAAACATAATATCTGCTCATTATTAGCATCCAATTCTCAGTTTTATCAAACATTTGAAGTAAATAATAATGTATGATTACCTGGTTTAGGTCATCTACAGAGTGCTGGAACCATCAATAAGAATCAAAGATCCATACAGCCCCAGCATCCAGAGTAAGTACAATTTGGAGGTAAATGTGAAAGCCCAGTTTGAATGTCTCAGACTGTCTAAAGAAGAAGACTCCATACAACCTCTGTCCAGGAGTGATGATTTCTGCTGTTGGTTCTACAGAACTTTTCAGCAACATCACCCCGTGAATTAGCAACTATTACTTAGCTAAGTGTTGTCCAGCTTCCAGTTACCATTTTATAATTTTGTATGTATTTGTTTCCTTCCTAACACGCTAGCTGTGTGTCCGACAGTAGTCTGATTCCACTCTGATTTTACAGCTCTCATTCAAACTGTTGACTTATCATGCTGTGACACAACAGAGTGAAACAGCATGTTCACTTCAGTGAGATGTGAAAAGCAGCTGTTTCTGTATCCTGGCCCTCCTGTTTAGACTGGCAGGACATTAGAGCTCATTTCCCAGAAACACGCGCCTGGTTTTCCATCACCACTACTGTGGTTAAATATCTAGAATGTGGACCCCTAACCCCCCCCTCACTGTCTGTTGTTCAGATTCTGATTGGGAAAACATAGTCAGTCATGACACTGACTCTAACTGAACTGTCTTCTGTGTAGAGTTTTTGACTGATCCTCACAGTTTGTATCTGTGTGTCTGACTGACAGAGGCTGTGTGATTCTACACACTGTTAAGACACTGACTGTCTCCATGTTTGAATAATTCGTTTTACAACTAACAACACATGAACTTTTTGCATATTTATTTTTAAGTTCTAGGTCCAGGTCATTTCTAGGTTTATTTTGTTAGGCACAACGAGCACCGTATTTTCCGGACTATAAGTCTCTCCAGAGTATAAGTCGCACCAGCCAGAGAGAGTGCCCTCTAGCGGCTGTCAGTGTGAAAATAACAGTGAAATTATATATTTTAATATATAAGTCACACCTGAGTATAAGTCACAAACCCAGCCAAAGGATGGAAAAAAGTGTGACTTATAGTCCGTAAAATACGGTACTTTTTATGTTTCTCTAGGTTTACAATAAGTCAACTATTAGCTACACCTTTTGGCTAATGTTTACCACATGGTCTGTTCTGGGATAACTTACATGTAGTTTTGTCTTTATAAACAGTTGGACTTTAGCTGTTTGGCAAAAAAAAGAAAAATGCAGACATGTATCTGGGAAAAAAAAAAAAAAAAAAATGCAGACATGTATCTGAAAATGTTCTAATATTATTGCTCCTCCAGAACCGTCAGCTAAAAAATACAGAAAACTTTCTAAAAAAGAATTTCATTCATTTTCAAACTCTGGTATTTTAGGCAGTTTACTTAATTTATAAAAAGTTATATTTCTGTTTACAGTAGAAATAATACAATAATATTATTGCTTGGATAGACACTTTACACCTAACTAAGCATCAGTCTTTATAAAACACTGAGTCTGTCTTCAGTGTTCAGGTCCACAGAAGCCTAACTGTGAGTATCTTCATCTTCATCTTAGACCAGCTGAAGATCACCAACCTCAGAGTGAACTTCACCAAACTTCACACTCTGGGAGACAATCTTTTAGACCCCCGAGCAGAAATCAAGGAGAAGTATTATTATGCCATGTATGAGCTCGTGGTGCGAGGCAACTGCTTCTGCTATGGCCACGCCTCTGAGTGCGCTCCCATCGATGGAATTAAAGATGACAGAGAAGGAATGGTGAGTGAGGAGATGATATTTCCTTTGCAAAAATATTTTAACCCGAAAGATTTTGACGAACCCTTTGTTGTGGTGTTCAGGTTCACGGCAGATGTGTGTGTAACCACAACACCAAAGGCTTGAACTGTGAGCACTGTGACGACTTCCACAATGACCTGCCCTGGAGGCCAGCAGAGGGACGCAACACCAACGCCTGCAAGAGTAAGTAGAAGATAATACAAAATCTATGAAAAACCAAACTTCAATGTGTAATGATGCCTAATATGAAAAGCAATGATTGACTTATTATTATATATCATTTTTGATTTTATTTTTTCTTTAATTATTGAGAGGCATAAGTTGTACATTTAAGAATAAAGTAACGACCAGCTGTTTTCACGATAATATTGTACAGTATTTATATCTTCCTTGTTCCTGTGAAATATGATTTACTAAAAGTTGTGTTCATTGAAGTTCATCATGGAAACAGCTTTCTCTAACTTGTAGTAATATTTATATTTTGGGGGAATTTCTGTGTATCTTTAATTGTTTTTTGTAATCCTATATGGTCTATTAAAGTATGTTTTTGCATGAAAACAAAAGGGGAAAAGATAGACTTTTTGTTATTTATAGGTAATTATGTTATGATTGTACTGGTCCGGCCCGCTTGACATCTAATTAGGCTGTTAAAAACCTGTGTTTCAGAGTGCATCTGTAACGGTCACTCCAACTCCTGCCACTTCGACATGGCCGTCTTTTTGTCCACTGGGAACATCAGTGGAGGAGTGTGTGACGATTGTCAACACAACACCATGGGCCGCAACTGCGAGACCTGCAAACCTTTCTACTACAAGGACCCCACCAGAGACATCAGAGACCCTCGGGTCTGCGTAGGTGAGTGAGTCTCCTTCTCTGTTTGGTTTTCAACGTACCGTAGTCTTTTTTAACATGATCTGAGTAGAGACAGTGAAAATAGTTTATAGAGGATGTTGGAGATGAAGCATCCAGGCAGGGGGAACAAAGACCCCAGGGTGGATTCCTCATCCAGGCTTTTATAGCTCAGGTGGTCTGATTTAGGTTTTTTAAATGTGTGAGGTTTAATTTTGACCCACTTAATATACTTTTGTGTGATTGGAGTTATCCAAGTTTTGTGGCAGCTCTATTGTATAACGCTCCCTCAGGATTACATAACACCACAAAAGGCAAAAGGGTTCATCTGTTATGTGACGTGTTCAAACAGAGCTGTAATGACACTTTATGTAACTCCAACACTCTCCCAACTAAAATCATCAAAGAGTTGTAGACACTGATGGTTTCCTGGCTCCTTATTGGATTTAAAGTGGGGGCTGTGCCCAGGGGGCCTCAAAATTGGAGGGAAGATAAGGGAGAAAAGCAACAAGAAAAAATATTTTTAAATACAGTGGACCCCCTATACGAGTACAACAGCACTTGTATCTTGGTCAAATGTTCCCCATTAAAAATAACTACAAACCAATGAATTTGTTCCAGCCCCCCAGAAATATACTATTATTAATTTAATTAAAATCCCACTATCTAAACATGAAAAACATAGATATAAACAAATATATTGATAATATAAAATGATAAAAATTAGGAAAACATTTTATATTATTGTTATAAAAATGGGTAAAATTACCCAGCGAGGGAGTGTCGGGAGTTGCAGTCTCGTAACATGGATTACTCGTATTTCGGGATGGTGACTCCATTTTATTATTATTATTTATTATATTATTATGTTATTTAGTTGTTAATAATGGGATACTGGAGCAAAATGGGTGTAGACCAAACCTTAAATGATCAGAACAAATGTAATAAAGCTTCTTGGCTGAAACCAGGAGCTACTGAGTCCTGACTAGATCTGGAAAACATCAATCTACTCAGATTTCTTTATTTCCTCTAGCTTGCGACTGCGATCCCGATGGTTCTGAGAACGGTGGGATGTGCGACAGCCACACAGAGCCTTCCCTCGGCATGGTAGGTGGTCAGTGTCGCTGTAAAGCCAACGTCGAGGGGCCGAGATGTGACAGGTGTAAAAGTGGATTCTTTGGCCTTAGCGCCGAGAATCTACAGGGCTGTCAACGTGAGTACACAACATAGTAGTACTACATAATACTGTGGTTTAGTACTCTCAGTTTTTTTTTTTTTTCTTTAGCAGAAGAATAATTGCTTCTGCCCTTCTTGTGTCTTTCCACCTCTGTGCAGCCTGCTGGTGTGATAACAGAGGAACAGTGTCTGGAAGCTCCCAGTGTGACCCAGTCAGTGGAGACTGTTTCTGCAAACGTTTGGTCACTGGTCGCAGCTGTGACAAGTGTTTGGTAAGAGGAGGCTGAACTAAAATCTACACATTCTCCTATGTTTTGTTTCCTCTCTATTTGTTGGCAAGGCTGGGAGCTCATCTTGTAGTGCAGTAAACCTGATCCCAAGAAAAGGGGATGGACTTAAAAGAGTAGTTTTGGTATTATTAAATAGCTTTGCAGGCAAATAAATATCAGCTTATTTTTCATTTTTAAAATCAAGCATTAACTAGTTTTAGTATAAAGATAGTGAAAACCTTTCTTATTTGTGTTGCCCCTGGAAGGACGATGACCTCAGCATTTAGCCTACACTACAAATGCCACAGGCTGGCTATGGATTAACCTTAAGCTAATTTTGGCTAACCTCAAGCTATCTCTTTGTGCACCTCATATGCTGTATATATATATATGTAAATAATTTTTTAGTAGTTTGTAGTAATGCTCAGCTTCACTCAATTATGTTATTTTATTTATTTATATTTATTTTACATTATTATTGTTATTTAAAGTCTCTTCATTTTAAAGCTAATTTATTTTAAATATGTTAATTCACTAGGGTTTTTTCAGTTTTTTACCTGCCGAGAGCCTAATATTTAATTTTAAAAAATGTACACCCTACAGTGCATTTAATGAAGTAACCAATGAAACAACTGCAGTTTGTTATGAAGCAGATGGATGTGGTATGAATCCCTGCTGGGAAATCTTGAAATGTCAGCTGTTGATGAGCTTCCTGCTCTACCTCCAGCTTCTGTCCTAAACCTCCTCAGACAGAAATAGTGTGGGCAGGAATGTGAGCCTGGACTCTGTGTCTAAATTTAGCTCAGGGATTTAGGGCCTGTCCGGTTGGTGTGGGTTTACAACAGACCGAAAATGGTCAGGGCCTGGACTTAGTCCGAAAGTGGATCCTGACCATGTGAAGCCTCGTTTTAGACTCAATACTGTCAACAGTGGAAATAATTCTACGTGAGATGGATGGTGTGAACCGGATAATGGATTTTTGACCATTTGTAGCTATTTTCATCATTTGAGCAGATCTGTCAAATTTTAATGTTTGATAAACTTGTAAAAGCTGTTTACAGTTATACAATATATAACAGTGGAAATGATGTTCACACTTTTCACACAATGAAACTTCTAATTTGTTGATAAATGTTGCTGCTGTGAAGGTTCTCCTTTGGTCTAAAGGCCTGTACAATGTGATGCATCATGTCTGCCCAGAAACAGTTGGACCACCTAACTGTCCACCTGTCTTTTTAGCCAGAACACTGGGCTTTGAGCCACGACCTGAACGGATGCAGAGGCTGTGAGTGTGACATCGGCGGAGCACTGGACAACCAGTGAGTGGTGCTGTTGCTCAGTTATAACTGAAACACACACATGTTCTTTTAGGGAAGGTAAAATGGCTCGATGAATACATAAAGAAAAAAAAAAGGTAAATAAAATGCAATTAGATGCAAAGTAAATGATTTAAGATCTCCATCATAGGCATGAGAAAAAAAGTTTTTAACCTGAATTTAAAAATATTCACATTTTAAAATGCTTAACAGCAATTGATAAAATTCCAAAAGTCAAAAGGAATGACTTACTAGTTTTGAAAATAACTCACTATTTTGTGAAAATGAGTAATAATTTGTTTGTCTCTGCAGCTGCTCCATAGAGAATGGTCAGTGTAATTGCCGCAGTCACATGACAGGACGTCAGTGTACACAAGTGGAGTCTGGCTACTTCTTCATGGCTCTGGATCATTTTCTCTATGAGGCAGAGTCGGCCAAAATGGGACAGGTGGGAAATCACATTAGTGTTATTACGAAGTTGATCCTCGGATGGAAGTTTCATTTTGGAAATACTGTGATTTATGCAGGGCTGTGTCCTGGAAACCAGGGAGCACCAGCCCAGTCGTCCTGCCACTTGGACTGGCATGGGTTTTGCTCGAGTCCCTGTAGGTGGCACCCTGGAATTCCATATCAGTGACCTTCCCTACTCTATGGAATATGATCTGCTAATTCGTTATGAAGCACAGGTCAGTGTTTCTTCCTGTTTGACACTTGAAGGTAAAAGGTACTTTTTGCATATATGTTGCTACAATTTGCAATTTCTGTTACTTTGATTTGACTAATACTATAAACACATAGGTCATTACAATATAAAACAAGAAAATACCATTTAAAAAAACCTCCATAAATGTATAAGAGAATTATTACATTTGGTTAAAAAAATGTTCACTGTTAACAATAAAGAAATACTGGTATGGTCTAGATGCCCCGCGACTGGGAAGAAGTGAGAATTACTGTGATCCGTCCAGGACCAATTCCCACCAGCAGTCCCTGTGGAAACACCATCCCAGATGATGACAGGATCTCTGTTTCCTTGCTGGCTGGAGCCAGGTCTGTGTCTGAAACTGTCAAACATCTGAGTGCGTGGCTGTACGTCTAGTGTAAAGTGCGTCTCTGACCGTGTTCTTATAGGTTTGTGACTCCCTCTCAGCCTGTGTGTCTGGAGCAAGGTGTGACCTACACCCTCCGATTCGAGTTCAGGCGCTATCAGGACGGCAACTATATTCTCAACGGAGCTGCAGACGCTTTTGTACTTGTAGACTCGGTGAGATTAACAGTTTAAAGCAGCAGGCTCAGTGAGAGAGAACAATTATAATATTTCATTCCTTCTTTCTCCTCCAGATTGCCTTTATGCCTCGTCATTCCTCCATGGAGATGTTCAACGGTGGAGATCCAGCCTCAAATATTAGGAAGCAAACCTATGATCGCTACCGCTGCCACGAGGGGTCCAAGAGTGTGACCAGACCTCTGATGAGTGACACCTGCGCCAAACTGATCAGCAGCATGTCAGCCATCATCAATAATGGAGCTTTGGGTGAGTGAAAAAAGACATTTTTTTACCGTGTCAGAGATAGGATAGGATATGAACAGTTAAAACGTTTGTTGTGAGACGAGGGGTATCAAGGTATATTTCCTGCTGGATTATAATAATAAATGATAGCTTAATCTGATAAAAAAGTACTTCACCATTTCTATTTCTGCTTTAAAATGTGTTGAATTCATGTAATAATTTCATTTTTTAAACGTTTTTAAACGTTTTTCGTAGTTCTGAAAAAAAACAATATTTGGAAGATGTGCTGAAGCCTAACTCATAGTTAAATGAGATAATGGATAAAACGTTCATAAAATAACATCCTCTTTGGAAGTGCTCCAGTATGTTTGGTGGAGTTCCTTTTGACTTTTGGCATTTAAATTTCCCATTTCAGGAAATGCCAAATCAGATCATTTGTAGATCAGATCATATTAGTGAATTAATGTACTTATTGTAAATAAATGTAATGTAATGTAAATGTAATGTAATTTTTGAGTGTTGAAAGTAGAGGTAGAGCTTTGGCCCCATCTTATCAGGTATTACATTCCATATTTATAACAAACTTGTCTTTCGGATTCTCCTAAAACATATGTCAAACATGTTCTTTTTTCACTTTCTCTGCAGCCTGTAACTGTGACCCTCAGGGCTCCATGAGTTCTGTGTGTGATGTCCGTGGAGGCCAATGTCGCTGCAGGCCCAATGTGATTGGACGACGCTGTGACCAGTGTGCACCAGGAACCTACGGATTTGGTCCATCAGGCTGCATTGGTGAGATTTCTTTGACTTTCTACTCATCTTCTTTGATATTAGCTGCATGCCGTTGGCGCCCTCTGCTGTCAAAGGCGGCTTTGTTTATTCACTATTAATTAAACACAAACATATTGTGCTTTTTATTCACACTCCTCTCCCACCCACAGTCTGCAGCTGCAGCCTGGAAGGCTCCGTGACTCGACTCTGCGATAAGTTCACTGGTCAGTGCCAGTGTCGGCCCGGAGCTTTTGGTCAGCGGTGTGACGGCTGTCAGGCCGGTCACTGGGGTTTCCCAAGCTGTCGGCCATGTCAGTGTAACGGACATGCAGACCATTGTGACCAGAGAACAGGAGTCTGTGTCAACTGCAGGGACAACACTGGAGGAGACAAATGTGACAGGTGATCCTTCTCCTGTAGCTTCTGGTTGTATCCACTCCAATTTCCTGTGATCTAGAGCATATAAAAGAAAAGGAAAAAGAATAAGGGCAGCCCTGAACTTAAATAATTGAAGTTGTGTCTTTTTTGTTTTTAATTTTTTTTATGTTGTGATGTAAAGATAAACTTCTTTTATTATTTCTAAAGGTGTGCTAGTGGTTACTACGGAAACCCTGTTCTGGGCAGTGGTCACTGTCGTCCATGTCCCTGTCCAGATGGACCCAACAGTGGCCGCCACTTCGCTGCATCTTGTTACCAGGACAACCGTAATAGACAAATCATCTGCAACTGCAACCAAGGGTACACAGGTACATCTGTCAGTTCACTAGTCTGCACTTTAAACACAAACATGTGATCTGTTATTTTCCTCCAGCCTTTGATTTTAAGGATTTTTAAAAATGACTGTAGGTGGGATTTTAGAGGGAAGAGAAACAGGGTCTGAGCAGATGTTGGCACTGGAGCTGAAGGTGGACATTATTTTTCCCGATCACAACGTTCATTCTTGTAGTAGCCCAACACATGGTATTTGCTGGTGAACTGTGGAGGAAACATGGAAATGGAAATGCATTTAGCACAAGGATTCCGTGATATAAAAATGTGATCGCGATTTGGGTTTTTTGTGGGATTTTTTTTTATTGTGTCCATAAACTTTTCCTGTGTATAAAAAAATTTAAATCAATAATACTTTTAAGTTTAATTCAAATGTAAGAGCGTTGTTGTTCTGGTCATTTGAGCATGGTTAAACATGCGGCCTTTATAAGGAAGCCCTGTGACTCTATGGCGCCCCCTAGTCCTGAACTGATTGCGCTTCACATATGATCAGAAATAAACTTGATATCTGAAATTTATATGCATCAGTTATAAGTCCCTGTGGCGCAATCGGTCAGCGCGTTCGGCTGTTAACCGAAAGGTTGGTGGTTCGAGCCCACCCAGGGACGATATGTTTCTCAACAATTTCCTGAGTGTTTGATCAGTTCAAGTTCTCATTTATTTACGTGGTTATGGTTAAAGTCTCTTTTACCTCAAAAAGTCGTAGAGTGTCATTTACGTAAGGTGAGAGAGATGTCTTTCAGCAGGTCCTGGTTAATAGTAACCTGTTGTTATTTCCTTCCCTCCCTTGTTACTGACACAGGGATTGTAAAACGCTCCGGCACGACCATTTTTAAGCGTGAGTAATGGTTGGTTGATCCCCATCCCTTTACCACTCGCTCTCTCCCCTCCATTCGTCTTCACAAACCATCATTTTAACTGTCCAAACCTGTGCATGGCTTCAGCTGTGCCATCATGAACGTCTGCCCACATGTGACCCCTGGTCCAAGGAGGGACATTTTTTAGGCCTACTCCTGTGGCTAGAAATGGGCATTTCAAGTAACATGGTTAGCAACCATGACAGTGTTAAAAAAACAGCCACCAAGACCCAGCAGAAGTTCCACGATGTAATATGTTCATTGAATGTTAGAGATCATTTCAAGGATGAACTTAATGTTAGCATCGAGCATCCAAGAGAAGTTTGATTGCTAGATGTTTCATCCCATAGAATCCATATAAACTGCTGACTAATTTACTGTCATTAAAATAAAAAGGCATCCTAATATGGTGTTTATAATCCACTGAGGGTGTGAGGACTTTTGGAGAACACAGTTAACTAACAGTGTTTGACAAAAATAAATAAAGACGTGACAAACTTGGCACAATATTGATATCTGTGAACTGTTAACTTCACTTTCGCCAGTTTACCTCTCTCTGTTTCATATACTCCAAAGCTGACGTATTTACATAAGAAGTTGACCAGTCTACATTCTCCCTAACCACATATTCTCCTTTCCTTCTGTTCTTCTCTTTTCCTTCACCAAGGTGCCAGGTGTGACGAGTGTGCCCCAGGTTACTACGGGAACCCCTCACAACCCGGTGGTCGTTGCCAGCCGTGTCAGTGCAACAACAACATCGACATGTCAGACATGGGCGCGTGCGACCGTCAGACTGGCGAGTGCAGGAAATGTCTCTACAACACCGAGGGCCCCAGCTGTGGTATCTGTAAGAGCGGCTACTTCGGAGACGCCTCCAGACGAAACTGCAGGAGTGAGCATTGTACAATATTGTCAGCCAAACAATTTATATATATAGATATATACGAACAGTGTCACTCATCATTCATCACTTTGACAAGGTAATGATGTAATGTACTGTATTTTGTTTTCTGATTTGCACATTTCTTATGCTAACTTTTACTCAGAGTGCACCTGTAACTTCCTGGGAACTGAACGGAGTCAGTGCACAGATCGTTCGGACTGTGTTTGCCAACGGGCCACGGGACAGTGCCAGTGTCTGCCAAATGTCGTGGGTCTGACCTGCGACCACTGTGCCCCCAACCACTGGAACCTGGCCAGTGGGAAGGGCTGTGAATCTTGTGGCTGTGACCCCCACAACTCTGTCACCTCCTCGTGTAATGAGGTACAAAACACCTGGACCTGAACCAAATCAACAAATTCACATCACAGACTGCCGTGTCAGATTCGGAATTATTTTCATCATACGTCCTGTCTCGCAGTTTACCGGTCAGTGCCAGTGTCGTGATGGATTTGGAGGAAAGACCTGCACGGACTGTCAGGAAAACTTCTGGGGAGACCCCAGGACACAGTGTAGAGGTGAGAAAAAAATCTGAGAGTAAGTGATGTATAAATTCTTCAGCCATTCCTAATTGGTGGTACACTGAAGAGAGTGTGTTCAGATTGTCTCTGTGCTTTGTATTATTTGTTTTATTTATTTTATTTTTTTTTACCTTTCAAGCTTGTGACTGCGATTGGCGTGGCATCGAGACTTCTCAGTGCAACCGCATGACTGGCCACTGTGTTTGCCAGCAGGGGGTGTCAGGTGTGCGCTGTGATCAGTGTGCAAGAGGTTTCTCTGGCCAGTTCCCCAACTGTCAGCCCTGTCACAAGTGCTTTGGAGACTGGGATCGCATTGTGCAGGTGAGGTCACATGGTGGATGGAAAAACTGAATAAAAAACTTAGTGTTGACTATAGGCTTTGAAGAGCTCTTTCTTAGAACCTTTGCAACTTGTTTAAGGATTGTTTCTAAGTCTTACCTAACTTCTAAAGCGCCATCTTTATCTAAACATTTACCTGGCAGGACCTCGCAGTGCGAACAAGATCTCTTGCCGATCGCGCCCATGAGATCCAGACTACTGGGCTGACTGGAGCCTATGAGAAGGCCTTCAGAGACCTGGAGGAGAAACTGGCAAAGGCTCAGGGAATTGTCAACGCACGCAATGCTACTGTCGCAGCTGTGACTATTCTGATGGAGCTCATTGAAGATCTTAGGTACAGTCTCGGCCAAATGTCTTTTAAACTGCTTTGAGAACTACTATATAGTCAATAAAAATTGAATTGTAATGGTCGACGTGTTAAAACTCTACTGTTTGTCACATAGAGCACAGATCGGTGAGACAACTGACACACTGAACCGTCTGGAAGGAGACTTGACCATTGTTCAGGACACCAATTCTGAGGCAAGCAAGGAGTTGAGTTCTTTGGAGAGGGAGGCCAGAGAACTGAACCTCACATCAGAGCAGCTGCATCATCAACTGGACATCCTGAAGAACTCGAACTTCTTAGGTGAGAGATGACAGACTGTAGTGTCACTGTAAAAAAAACAAAACTACTTTAACATTAATAGAAGTTTAACCCAGTAGCCTTTACACAACTCCACACTGTGATTCTCAAAATTTGAACTCTTTGCTGAAGGTGCGTACGACAGCATCCGTAGCTCCTACAACAAGTCTAGGGATGCGGAGCGGCGTGCCAACGAATCGACCATCACTAGGCCCAGCACAGTCAGTCAGTCTGCAGACACCAGGCGTCGCACCGAACGACTTATCTCCTCCAAGAAGGACGACTTCAACCGTAAGAATGCAGCCAACAAGAGATCGCTGGTAGAACTGAACACAAGAGTGCAGGGCCTGGACATGAAGAAGATCAACGAGAAGGTTGGTTCTCCATCTTTGTCCTTTGTCATTTGTCTTTAAATGTACAATACTTTTTCTATATGTGTATCTATAAGGAATTAGAAAGTCACAGTCCTGAAAAGCCTTAAGCTATAAAAAAATATTTCCTAAAAATTCTCTTTTCTCTTAAGTCTTTTGGTCTTACAGAATAATCGATGTCATTATATGGTCTCCTGTTCCTCATTGCTATGTTTTGAAAAGTCACGTGGACGTCAATTATCCAAAGTTTACTCTGTGTTTGGATTTTTGTCACAAACACAGTAGATTCAAATAACAAACAAGTCTCATCCCAACAGGTGTGTGGTGCCCCGGGCGACGCACCCTGTGGGGAGAGTCCGTGTGGAGGTGCAGGTTGTCGTGATGACGAGGGAAATCGTCACTGTGGGGGCCTGAACTGTAATGGTGCTGTGGCATTAGCCGACAATGCACTAGAGAGAGCCAAGCACGCTGAGAAGGAGCTGAACAAAGCAGTGGGAGAGGTGCAAGGACTCTTCATTAAGGTGTGTGATATTAATGTGCAGTAACTGCTTCATTTTTACAGTCAAACATCTATTTGTTTATATGAGATCAATAAATTTATCAATATGCCACTGGAGGTATTTCTGAAATTTCTTTTTCTTCAGTGCTGCTAAAAACATGAAGTATATTAATACTCAGTCACTTTTCAGTGATGTTTACTATAGGGTTGAGCTTTTACCCCCCTGATGATTTCAATTGGAAAAAAAAAACACCAAAATACTTTTTGACTATGACTCCACGTTTCCACCATGTTGTCAATTAACAAACTATAACTATAACAAAAACATGACCTGAAGTTATGTATGTTGTTATGATGAAGTGTCCTTTGTCTCTTTTTCAGGTAGCAGAGGCCAAGACCAAGGCAGAGGAGGCTAAGGGTAAAGCCCAGGCAGCTCTGGACAAAGCCACAGCCACCAAAAACAAAGTGGAGCGCTCCAACAATGACCTGAGAGACCTCATCAAACAGATCAAAGATTTTCTCACTCGTGAGACTTTCCCCGTTCTTTTCAAACTTCCAGTCATGTTGCATCTGTTATCCCACCTTCATTTTTAAATCTTTCTCCCGACCAGAGGAGGGAGCGGATCCAGATAGCATCGAGGCTGTGGCAAACCAAGTTTTGGAGCTCTCCATCCCAGCTTCGCCTCTCCAGATCAGACACCTGGCAGATGAAATCAAGGATCGTGTTCGCAGCCTCTCCAATGTTGATGCCATTCTGGCACAGACTCAGGACGACGTCCGCAAGGCCGAGCAACTGCTGCTGGATGCCAAGAGGGCAAGGTAGATGAAGGTCCATTACAGTCGAATTGAAAACATTGATGGTTACTTTAGTTTTTTTAACCTCAGAATAGGAGTTCTACATAAACTTCAGTGAAGAGTTTTTCTACAGATCACTGTGTTATTTTTAAGGCATCATGCTGAGGGAGTAAAGACGGCAGCAGAGACGGTGAAACAGGCCTTGGTTGATGCAAAAACAGCACAGACGACGGCTGAGAAAGCCATTGCCAAAGCCAAAGCTGATATTGACATGACTGAGACCAGGCTGGCTCAGGTAATGAGATGAAAACCTCTGGCCTTTAAAACGTACGTCAAAAATCAACCACCATAGGAGGGGAACTGTATTTTCACTTTCTGTCCTTCCGTCTTTTTTCCATCTGTCTCATTTGTCAGATCGAGTCAGAGACGTCCCACAGTGAGCAGGACCTGAATGATGCAGTGGAGCGTCTGGGCAGCCTGGGACTGGAGATCAATGCCCTAAAGACCAAACGCGCCAACAACAGCATGGCAGCAGCCCGAGCTGAAGAGACAGCCACCATGGCACGTGACAAGGCCAACGAAGCCAAGCAGGTGGGATTTGTGTGTGTTTGTTTTACAATGTGCGTCTGTTCATTAAAGAACCTTTGAGATGAAAATTGAAAACAATATTGGAAACCTTTTTCCCCCGCCTTGACTCTTAGATTCTCGATGGCCAGCTGACGGACAAATACAATGAGGTGCAGCAACGAGTCGACACAAAGGCCAAGGTGGTGCAAGACGCCAAGAAAAGGGCTGAGAGCCTTAGAGATGAAGCAAAGGAACTCCTGAAGGATGCCCAAAACAAGCTGCAGAAACTAGCAGGTGCCTGCAGACATTGTCATAAATCAAGTTTTGAACAAGAAATTTACATTGATCTGTTTTCAAATTTAAATAATCCATATAAAAACTGTACTTCTCCCCCACCGTCTCAATTATGACAGAGCTAGAAAAGAACTACGAGGAGAACCAGAGGAGGTTGGAGGGGAAGGCGCGTCAGCTGGATGGTTTAGAGGACAAGATGAGAGGCATCCTCAACGACATCAACAAACAGATCCAGATCTACAACACGTGCCAGTAACTCACAGCTCACCGAGATGACGACACAGGGTCCATCATTGTTTTAATTAGTTCTTCAGATGGAGGAAACTTCCAAAACACTTGATAATAGAAAAATGTTGTGAATAAAATATGACACTGAAAAACGAGAGGAAGGGGAATAAGAAGGTTGTTCCTATCTTAAGTTTCTTCTTGTATTTAGAAGAGAAATGACTCAAAGATAAGATATATAAATATCTTACAGTATCTCACATATTCAACTTTAAATGTGTCACACTTTTATTTGTTCAATCATGTAAAATATG